GTGAAGAGTATAATACCTGAGCTCATTGAGTCCTTATGCATAAGAGGAACCAGGAGCTTTGCAGCTCTGTAGCAACTACAGCACATGCTGCATGTTGTTTTGCAAAAAATAAAAAAGATGAACCGCTGCAAGAATAAAGGCCATCATATTTCTGTAGACACATACCTGTTCTAGCTAACAAACCTAGCAAACAATAATTTACTATGTGTGCATGTAGCTTCAGGGGCTGGCCTGCTTTGCACACAGGGCTCTGTTTATGTCTGAGTGACTGCTAGGCCCAAATGTTAACATAACAGACACAAACCTTTAGTAACAATCTATATTTCATTACTCTTTAGGTGTTGTTTCAGCAATAGAAAACAGCTTAAATAAACAAATTAATTATATTTATTCAGCACCTAAAAGAGAATCTTGCTCCAGGCTGGTGTGTGAGCCCTGCCATCGACAGTAGCTGCATCATTACTTCACAGGCATCCAAAGCCTTATATTTACCTCATCACTGGCAGGAGAGAAATAAATTGCGCTGTTCTAACAGCTACATTAGCTAATGTCATTAATCCGTTTCAGTCCATCTGAACAAACAAAACTATGGTGCACTAAATATCACTGACAATCCAATTGAAATAAAAGAAATACATCAATTGTTGACGCATAGCCTCCTAGCATCCAGCATCAGATCACTAACGTGTTATGACCTAATTAGACAGCTAGCCAACTAGCCTAGCGCGCATCACTATAGAGCAGGACTGACAGCAGCTCCCCTAGAAGGCTTCGGCCGCGAATCTAGCTATTAAAATGTTGGCAATTTTAGATTGCCCGTCCTAGAAAGACAGCTAAACTTAATTTGCATTCAATGATAAAGACCTAGCTAGACTAGTGGCAGTCCGTTTAACAATTCGGCTAGGATTTTATTGATATAACAGCGAACACATGGGTTAAAATGTAAAATTTAGACTTGCTTCGCATGTCGTTTCCATTAGCTTGACTCACCAAAACACAACGTGGCGCTTGAGAGGGAATGGTGAGAAATTTTGTTAAAGTTCCTGTTTTTTTTAGCTGTATGTTTGTAGACGCTGTAGCACGCACAGGACGAATTTGAGATCACAGTTCATTTATTCTGAAAATCACTTTCCTTTCGTTTTAGAATGCGCACATTGTGTTGATTTATTATCGAAATAATTCAATTAGCGTGTTTTCAGCTAGAGTGCCGTAGGGGGTTACCTTATCGAAAACAAAACAATTAGCATAGCTCCAAAGTAATACGAACCATAATACGTGTTTATTCTTTTTTTATTTTAAATACAAAACGTATTTACAAGGAGAGAAGCTACCTTTGAGGGACTGAATGGGGAGACGTCTGGCGAACTCCTCCTGTTATCCGGCGGAGAAGGCTTCTGGCTGGGGATCAGCCTCCCGTCCAGAGTCGCTTCCACCCGGGTTGGCGGGACTGGAGCGACGGGACGTCGTCGGTCCCCGGTTAGAGGCGGAGGAGGAGGAAACGTAGCAGGTTGGGCTGCTTGTTTCCCAGTGCTGGTGGTGCTGCGGGCTGAAGGGGAAGCTGATGTTGAACCAGCTGCTGGACGAGCCTCTGCTGTGCAGGGACCGATGCTGACATGAGAGGTGGAGGTATGTAATATTAAACAAAACACAAACTGACACATTCATGCATGATGTCTAACTTTGTGCATCTCTCTCCTCATGTGTGTCAGAAGTTGAATGTTTCTCATCAGAAATCACCTCTAAGAGTTACCAAACTTTTAAGTGTTTACTAATCACCTTTTATCATCATCATCATCATCATCATCATTATTGTTGTTGTTGTTGTTGTTGTTGTTGTTCAGTACAATCATGGATAAATTAGTGTATATCCTTTAAAAAGAAAATCCCACAATGATCATGTAATAATAATAATAATAATAATAATAATAATAATAATAATAATAATAATGAAAACATAATTTCTTTTGAATTTTGGTGCACCAGAATTATTCTAATAGGCTAAATTATCAAATTAGCCTTTGCAAAAAGGATGGTAGCCTTAACGTAATATTTTGTCGCACAACTTTCTCTACACTCAAGCCATATCTGTAACTGTCTGAGACTCCTGCACCTGTCCATAGATCCACTCCTTGTGAGCAAACTAATCCAGGTGTCTCAGGTTTGAAGGGTTTCTTCTCCAGACTGCCTGTTTCAGCTCCTTCCAGTTCAGGCCTCATAGAAGGCCACTTCAGAGTAGTTCAGTGTTTTTGTTCTTAGCCATTCTTGGGTGTTTTTAGCTGTGTTTTGGGTCATTGTCCTGTTGGAGGACACACGACCTGCGACTGAGACCAAGCTTTCTGACACTGACAGCATATTTAGCTCCAGGATGCCTCCATAGTCTTGAGGTTTCACTGTACTCTGCAGAGATTCAATACACCCTGCCTCAGATGCAGCAAAGCAGCCTACCATCCTCCCATGTTTTTTTTTTTTTTTTGGTAAGTTTCGTGTTTGTGTCCCCCCCAGCTGTCTCAGTGATGGTTATCAATAGGGGTGCAACGATACAGAAAATTCACAATTCAGTTCGGTTCTACACTCACCGGCCACTTTATTAGGTACACCTGTCCAACTGCTCGTTAACACAATTTCTAATCAGCCAATCACATGGTGGCAACTCAGTGCATTTAGGCATGTAGACATGGTCAAGACAATCTCCTGCAGTTCAAACCGAGCATCAGTATGGGGAAGAAAGGTGATTTGAGTGCCTTTGAACGTGGCATGGTTGTTGGTGCCAGAAGGGCTGGTCTGAGTATTTCAGAAACTGCTGATCTACTGGGATTTTCACRCACAACCATCTCTAGGGTTTACAGAGAATGGTCCGAAAAAGAAAAAACATCCAGTGAGCGGCAGTCCAGTGGGCGGAAATGCCTTGTTGATGCCAGAGGTCAGAGGAGAATGGGCAGACTGGTTCRAGCTGATAGAAAGGCAACAGTGACTCAAATAACCACCCGTTACAACCAAGGTAGGCAGAAGAGCATCTCTGAACACACAACATGTCGAACTTTGAGGCAGATGGGCTTCAGCAGCAGAAGACCACACCGGGTGCCACTCCTTTCAGCTAAGAACAGGAAACTGAGGCTACAATTTGCACAAGCTCATCGAAATTGAACAAGAGAAGATTGGAAAAACGTTGCCTGGCCTGATGAGTCTCGATTTCTGCTGCGACATTCGGATGGTAGGGTCAGAATTTGGCGTCAACAACATGAAAGCATGGATCCATCCTGCCTTGTATCAACGGTTCAGGCTGCTGGTGGTGGTGTCATGGTGTGGGGAATCTTTTCTTGGCACTCTTTGGGCCCCTTGGTACCAATTGAGCATCGTTGCAATGCCACAGCCTACCTGAGTATTGTTGCTGACCATGTCCATCCCTTTATGACCACAAAACCGTTACTAGCGTGGTGTACCTAATAAAGTGGCCGGTGAGTGTATATTTTAGTCTCACGGTTCAATATTTTTTTCGACACAAAAAAAGAGAAATGTCCATGCCCTTTTTATCTTGTAATTTATTGAAATTAATTATCAACATTCGTTTAACCTCAAAAGTACAGTTTTTAATGTTGCTGAAGCAAGTTTCTCAGTGGATCTGCACTCGACAAGGCAGCCTAGGTGGAGTTGAACACAGATCCTCTGATCCTTCAACACAGAGCATCTTCAGACAAGTTGGTAAACTAAATTTTAAAAATCTGTATTGTTCGATATAGTGTGTACTGAACCTAAAGCACTGTACTAACAGTTTGATACAGATACATGTATTGTTGCATCTTTAGGTATTACAATATGGCACTGATGTACTTTGATATTTGGGTTCACTTCACTTTCAGTGCTGTTCTGGACTTATTGGTCATCTTGAAGTTACATCCAGGGAGATTGGCTACAGTTCATGTCTATGGGTAGCATCGTTTTTATTGAGGCCATTTTAATTTTTCGAAGTTGAACCAAAATTCAAAAACAATGACTGATTTTCTTTGGTTAATTTGCAGAAATTTTTGTTTACGTTTCTTGATTTCCAATTATTAGTGACTTTTTCAGATTTTTTGTCTTTAATGGAAGGCTACCAACAAATGTACCAGAATATACAATATATTAAAGCACCTTTTTTTACTATTTGGCCTACTACACATGTGTACTGTACTGTACTGTTTATATAGGCACCTGATTGGTAGCACCTTTGAGTACCAGAAGCTCAAAACAAATGTCAAGCTCCATTTTGGTCAAGCCTTGAAAATAGCATTACGCACCATCTCACATTCTGTAAACTCTTGCAGCTTAGATTATGTGTAGTGAATGATTGTCAGCTAATACTACACCAAATAATAGCTTTATATTTTGTTAAAAGTTTGATTTGCTGTGGATGGTTTGACTCCAAAAGTTAAACAGTCTCAAATAAAAGAAGGTTGTTCTCAGACTTGAGTTAATGTTCGGTCAAATTTGCAAGAACTGTACAAAAATGCTAAGATTCTTCATTGAAATTATATTTCATCATCTGAATCACAACCAACCATGACTAATAACCAGAAAATAAAAGGAGTAAGGACAAAGATTTTATTGGGTCGTCTAAACAATCAAGGCACAAGTGGCAGGACGGCTAATTTGATTCTTTTATAAACATCCAAAACAAATACAGTTTCTAGTCAATTTCCAGCAAAACAAACTTTTTGATAGATTTTCAATATTTACAACACGATTACCAAAAACAAAGAGAAAAATAATCAGAGGTTGGTAAAGATGAATGAAGGTGCAAACGTCAGCGAAACAAAACACTCTAAGAAAGATAATTGGCAATCAGAAAAAAAATTACAGTACCATTTATATGTGGTTTTTCCCAGCAATACAGTATGAAAGCTTGTGATTTGGAGTAGATTAGAAACTTGGAACTCAAGCATGAACAGTGCAGGGTCTAACGATGGGTAAATAAAGGGGTTGGAATTAGCAGCATTGTAACTTCACCTTTAGGTAAACAACAAAACGTACATTTTGATAACACAAATTTCATTGGTAGATAAACAGATTCAATACAGATTAGTTTTATTTGATAGTTATTGTTTTCTCTTTAGCTTTTCTTACAGGTTCTTCTTTACGATCAAGATAGACACCAGTTCCAATGTGACCCAAAAAAGGAAAAGCAGGTAAAAGAAAATGGATGGTTGTTCAATAAAAACATATACAAACCAAGTAAAGCTCTAATTCAAAGCTCAGGAAACTGGGTTTAAATGAAACTACCTATGAAAAAGAACTGCTACATAGGAGGGACTGGACCTATGGGGAGAAAAAAAGACAACTTGATTGATTTTGGTGATCGAATCATTGGTGTGGAAACTTTAGAAACTTTATCAACACAAACAGGTAATAATTAACATGTCCTTTCGAAAGAGGGGCCTAGACTTGCAGTGGAACAATTCAATATAACTGTTTGTGCTCAAATGCAAAAAGCATCAGATGTTACTCAGTAAAACAACTAAAGCAGAAAAACATGGGCCATAAACAGTTCTGAACAGATCTGCAGGAAAAAAAAGAAAGTATTAAAAATTCATAACATAATAAACTCTAACTTGGTTTAAAGTTGCATATTTAAAAGAAAAACGTTATCAACATTGGTGGGGAGTAAACCATCTTTATGCTACATATCCTACTTTAACTATGCAAATATTTCTTTCTCTATAAGTGGATGTTCTTCACTTTTTGGCAGAATATAAAAATATATAAGTATACAGGTGTACGACGTTTAAGGAACGATTTATTGTGATCACATTTTAGGAAATTCAATTCTCATCAATGAAGCAAGTCCATCATCCATTCATCGCCCATTCATCACTTTTAGTCGATTTAAAAGTTTGCTCAACTCCTGGCAGTCGGAGGCTGTGTCCAAATTCAAGGACCTTCGACCCTTCGAAGATCCCAGCCTCCCCAGACAATGTGGACTGGGAAGACCGAAGAAACTGGCTGTGAATTTGGACGGTCCAGCGTTCAGCTTTATTCCCACCCTTACCCCGGCGTATGTCCTGACACCTATACTGTAACGACGCTAAACAGAAGCAATGATGATTGCAAATAGACTGAAATCAGAAAAATAGTAATTATTAATATTAAGAATTTACAAAATTAGCTTAGAGGTAAAACACAAAGAACTAAGGTACCCGCCATATGAGCTCATTTACGATGATTTCTGATGAGAATAATATTAAAAAACATGTCTATGTAAATGATAAAACACAACCGCTTTAAACATTTCATTTTTGTACTGATAGATTTTCACTTAAAACTGTCTTTCACTTTGTCCACTATTACTCCTGGTCAGGCTGCAATGCATCTTGGGACAGGGTGGGCTGAGAAGGATACACAGGACCCGCCCCTCAAATTTATGGGTCGTAGTTGGAGGAGCCTTCGAATTTGGACAGCCTTCTTCGGCGCGTCATTGTGACATAACCAGCCTTCACATTCGGCCTTCGAAGGATGCAGCCCCTGAATTTGGACATCAGTGAGTCTGCTGTGCACGTTCACATAGTAACATGAATGCAGTTTAATTGAGAAAACATTGACAAACTAAACTGTGTCACATAAAACACAGTGGATTTTAACACAAATGTCGCCCTCTTTTATATCTGTATGCCTTTTATAAAAGAAGAGTTGTTTTACAGGCTCATTCAGTGACGTCACATGGACTGGTTTTTCAGCATGACAAATGGTAATTTTGCTTATTGCCTAAAGTTGCATGTATTTAACATAGCTTTAGCATTCACAGTTGACTAGAGTTTGAGTTCTGAGGTTAAGTGTGAGTCATCAGGACAATGTCCCTCACACCAGGAGTAAACCTCCAAAACTTAAGACCACTGATTTGGTGACAACTCTTGTTGGTGAGGGATGCAAGTCCAACCAAGATGGGTCTTCTTAATGCAAACAAATTATTTGCAATGGAACTGCCAATTATGTCGTCTTCATTTTCCTTTTTGGGTCGGACTCCAGGTCCAACATGTCTTCCATTGTTGACATCAATTTGTAAATAAAAGGTTTCTGTGCCGTTCCATGACTGTATCTCTGCTATCAAACTACAATAATGGATGAACATGGTGGAGGTGTGTAAAATGCCTCATTTGCATTTAAAGAGAGCACCAAAACAAGTTGATCCGAGACACACCTCAGAACAGAGGTGAAAGGGGCTTGTGAAGTTACAATAAGGAGGAATTCAGATCAAAGCATTGCAGTTCCACTATATACAGACCCCAACTGAATGATTTAAATGAGAAAAAGTAGATTTAAAAGGATAATGTCCCCTTTAAATGACTTCTTCACTGCATGCTTTGAATTTGTAACAAAAACCTTGCAGTGTTGAGTCAAGCTGTATTTTGTAATTTTACCAACAGACTGTCATTATTTTACCACATACAGGGCTACTGGATGATATGGAAGCTGTTTTTAAGAAAAGATAAAGGTTATTGTTAAACTTATTATTAGAATTTAGTGAGAAATGACTTGCTTCAACAGGAACGACTCAGTGCAATGACCGAAGGACATTCTTGGATAAATTAGACAAGAATCACGTGATTTGCAAATAGAAGCTGAAGGAGCCCCACATCCCTGAAAAACAATTCAACTTCATTTGTTTGGCTCGCCGTTAGCCAGAAGGAAGACTTCTGCACTTCTCTCCATACATACAGCTGGTAAAGTGTTACCTATTGGTAATTATGATTATCACTTCAAATGTGATCAGACTACCCCGTAAATGGAAATTAGCCACAAGGACTTTTGATTTTACTCCAGATTAAAAGCTTTCAGTAGGCTCAAATAGAGACTATAAGATCTAAAACATGTTTTAAGCTGGGATATTTTTCCTGTAACATAATCCAAACAAATTGCACATGATCTGCAGCATTTGTCATAGAAGTCTTAACCAATCACAAATTCCATCCTAAACGTCTTTAAGTTTTAATAAAAGTAACAAGGATCAAGTCTGCATTTGTTGCAACACCAAAAAAGTTCATTTATTCTGCTTGCCAATGAAATGTTTAACCTACATTAATTTGTAAACTCTGAGGTAAATTAGATTTATATGGCTCTTAATGAAAAACAATCAGAGTAACTTAAGGCTGCACCGTTTACCACAGCTAATTTAAGTTAATGTCTATTTAACGATAATTAGATTTGCTCACAAATATAGATTTTTCTGCCTTTGCGGTTTTGTTTTCTAGCTAAAACTAGTCACGTTAAGCCAGTTTCACGGTGCTGAACTAGTTACTGTGAAGCACCGAGTTCTCTAAGGTGAAATCGTACTGAAAACTGGCGAGGTTGTAGTTCATGTCGCGGGACAGAAGCACATCGGGGACGACGGAGAAGCCTGCCTGCAAGGCCAACACGTGGGGGGCCAAGGTGAAGGGGATGTCCCCGAGGAGATCTGGGAGGGTTGAAGCAGCTTCAACAGCCGGGGGGCCCTCTGCTGGTCCGGAGGGGTGTAAAGGTGTGAGGGGCTTTTCGGCAACGGGTCGAGGTGAAACTGGATAAGATGGCTGGAAGGAAAAAGGAGATAGATTACTTTGATTTACAAACGCCATTTCCAGAAACGTTGGGGATACTGGGGTTTGAGTTGAATCATCCACCGCTGAGGGCCAGCATTGTTTTTTGCCAGTGTGTGCTTATTTCTAGTGTTAGCAAAATTCCTTAAACAGTCTTTGTTCCACCGAAGGTAAAAAAAAATGGTACGGTTTGAGGGCATTTATTTTGAAACCCAGAGTGTCAGACAACTTCCTCTGGTTCTTACCTTAAGCTTGACACCCTTACCAAAAAAAATACAATTATGAAAGGCTTTCAAGGATTTTCAGGGATGACTGTTAAGGGGTTTTAATCAGCTTGAGTATTTTATTGAAACTCACAAAGTAATTACTGGATAAACATCTGCAACTAATTAGTTCTTCGAGTCAACCCAATTCAAGATGGCTGCCTCAGCCAATCCACAGTACACAACATAAAAACAGCTAAAACTCAGTGAATTTACAGATTATAAGCTATAAAATTTGATGTGATAGTAGCTGAAAGCGTTAACTGTTCCTGCAAGATCTGTTATTAAACTTATTACCCATTCTGGTCAACTCCGTCTGTCAAGTGAAGCTTGGAAGCAAGAGGGTAGGAACTATTCTGTGATAACCTGATGACACGGGGACCAGAAAGATGGCACACAACACGAGTGCTGTGGAAGGTGCCAAACAAACATGGGTGAATCTGTGCCAAACTGAGAGTTATGAAGTACTTTACAGGTTTTGAACATGGTTCTAAGTTTAAGGTTTAATGCTGTTGATGAAAATAGATTTATGACTTATGGTCCAAGATGTCGAAACTTTTTCTAAATCTTTGACGTTAACTATTTACTATCCTCTCTGCCTGTCTGTTAGCAAAGTATCTAATGAAAAACTGGACGTCTTTTATTAAAACTCTCAAAGTAAAAGTTACATCTACATCCAAAACTAATTCACTTTTTTGGAGTCAAGCTAATTCAAGATGGCCACCGCAACCTACTCACTACAGCCAACACACAAACGGCCACAACTTAGTCAGTTTTAAAGTGCCTGTGACATGCCTAACCTTCAAGTACAAAAATTCAAAGAAAACATCTTTATATTTAATAAAATTGGCACATGATTTTACCCATTTTGTCACATAACTGGCCAATTTTCTCTTGAATTTGGCTCAGCCAAAGTGAAACAGGAAGTGACATCAAAGGGGAATTCGTTAATAAAATGAACTCACTGGTCTTAAAACAATTTTTTTAAACTCTAACTCTTCTTCGTCTCTCTTTGATAGCGACTAAAACAATCTATAAAAACACCAGATTATTCTCTACAGTCTGTGTTGTTAGCTTTTGTAACGATGCTCTGTTTACATGCTGACATTCCTCTTTGACATCACTTCCTGTTTCTTCACAGGCAAATATCTCAACAACCGTTCATCTCAGCAAAGTGAAATGTGTTTTGCAACATGTTATCAATGTTGACTCTCCAAAAATGCATTCATGCTTATTACAAAAATTTGATGTCACAGGCACTTTAAAGATGCTGAGCTAAAACTTGGTGTGGCAGTAACTGAGAGTCGTTCTAGAGCAGGGCTGAGCAGTCCTGATCCTTGAGGGTTGTTTAAAAAACTCACCTTTAATGGCTGTACTATGACATTTGTTGAGGGCTGTGTGACGTTCATGGTCGGCATCCTCCGCCTCTGTTCTTCTGTCGTCTCTCCTGCAGATCAAATGAAAGATGCTGAAAACAATTAACTGAAATCTTATTTAAACCACAGCTGCCATCAGTGAAACAACGGTCTGAATAAGTATCTTTATAACTAAGAAGTCTCAACGAAATTTGTTACCTGTTTTTAGAGAAACATTGCAGAAAAAAGGCAATGTCATGATACTTCGGAGTAACCCTTTAATGCAAAACTGACAGCAGTACAAGTGTATAAAATTTTAAAGGTTGGTTGGAAGTAGGTCTGCTTGAACCGTACTGAGGAACAAACACTAATAAGTCTTTTAAAATTGCACATCAGATTATTTGAATACTGTTTTAAAAAAACCTTTGTACCTCTGTGAATTTCGCACTGCCTGGTATAATATTGTGAAACTCCTGCTGGGCGTACCCCAGGCTGCACTGGATGTGCTACAGCTAGGCTGCTGCCTATCGTACTTGCAACTAGAATATCATAGAAAGAAAAGTTTAAAGTGGAACTGACAGCAATGCAAAGAGGTTTTTAAATGTTTTTGTGAACCTCTGTGAAAGTAGTTTTAAGATCCAGTTTGCTCGTGGCCCCACTCGGACTAGCTGTAAGCTCATCAGTCCTGTCGGATGCAAACCCTACTTCTCCAACTGGAGCTTTTAAAGCACAATCGACAACCAGGAAGTTATTAACTGTTCAATAAAATTCCACTTCAAATTGGCTGAACAGTGTCGTTAAACAAAGACAAGTAGCTGTTAGCTAACTTCTGTCTAGTCAACGTTATCCCTGCTTAAAGTCCAATGAGAATAATAAGGCAAAAGAAAAGTGCATCCTGGGTCTTCCTCTGGGTCTCCTCCCAGTGGGACGTGCCTGGAACACCTCACCAGGGAGGCGTCCAGGAGGCATCCTAACCAGATGAACCACCTCAACTGGCTCCGCTCGACGTGGAGGAGCAGCGGCTCTACTCTGGGTCCCTCCTGGATGACTGACCTTATCACCCTATCTCTAAGGGAGAGCCCAGACACTAGGGCTGGGCAATTTGGCCCGAAATTTGATTTTCGATTTAATCGATTTTGTTTCCCACTTAACGGAGTGCCTCTGTTTCAGGTGTCGAAASAAATTTGTTGTACTCCTGCTTTTTGTAGCAAGAGCCTTCAAACAGATTTTGCAGTGAGGGGTTTGTTGCTCCAAGTTCGAGGTTGTGAAACCTAACCAGTTCCAGAAAACTGAAGGAACAGTGCCGTTTTTGAGAAGTAGATCCTCTTTGCTAGCTGCCATATTGTCATGTCATGTACCAAGCATCTTGAGGGACAGGTGGGGTGACCTCTGAAATACAGAAGCCCCAAAGAGTGCACTGGTGTGAAAATATCTCCATATTCCGAAAAGTAAATTTTTATAAATGGAAAATTTGAATTAATCGATTAAATTGATTTATCGCCCAACCCTACCAGACACTCTGCGGAGGAAACTCATTTTGACCACTTCTATCTGCAATCTCGCTCTTTCAGTCACTACCCAAAGCTTGTGGCCATAGATAAGGGTAGGAACGTAGACCGACCGGTAAATCGAGAGCTTCGCCAAAAGTTCTCACTTCACCACGACGGATAAAGACTTTCCTTTTTGATAAATCCTTAGGTTTAGGGTTTTTTTTATTCCTTAGTTCTGCTGCTGTAGGCTCAGACTGCTGGAGGACAAACTGAGCACATTTCCTCACTCTGCTGCTGTCTTTAGTCTTTCTCCTCTACATGTTATAATTACTTCTATCAATAACGTGTTTTCTTTGTCTCTCTTCCAGAAGAAACAACACCTGGCCCAGTTCTTCTGTGTTTGTCTGTGTCTCTTTCCTGTCCTCCAAACCAGCCGGTCGAGGCAGATGGTCTCCTGTCCTGAGCCTGGCCCTGCCGGAGGTTACTTCCTGTTCAAAGGCAGTTTTTCCTCTCTACTGTCACCACTGTGCTAGAAGTGAAGATTCAACACAATCTGCTGGCTTCTTTAGATTTTATTTTTATTTTATTTTTATTTTATTTTTTGTGTACAGTGCCCTGAGACAACAATTGTTGTGATTTGGTGCTATATAAATAAATTGAACTAAATTAGTTAAACCAGGGGTTCTTAACCTTTTTGACCTCGGGCCCAATTTATTGAACATAATGTGGCACGAGGCCCAGTCAGACATTAACAATGTATGGATCAAAATGATAATTATTCTAATCTAAATCTTGGTTTAATTTTATTGTATTTACATCATAACTAAATTAAATACACTTACAGTTTAAAAGTAAAACTCCTGTCAAATAATCACAAGACATGATTACAACAAACATTTTTATATTGTAACCTGTCCATAACAAAATATAAATATACAAATATAAATAGAAAATTCAATAAATAAAATTGTGGGCATAAATAATTAAATTAAAAATGTTTAAATGTTTCAAATATAAAAAAACTAAAAATAAATTTGATAAAGTACAAATGAAAATATAGCATGTGATTTTGACATTGCATGGTAGAAACAGAAGCTGTTCTTCATATTAGTGACAAACAATAACAGTAACAACAGCTTTTTGACAAGTTTAAAGTTTCTTTAAAATACATTAAAAATATAAAAATATATACTATAAAAATTAATTTGATAAAGTGCAAATTAAAATATAGTTGTATCTGCAACCGTGTTTGATGATTTGAACTTTTAAAATATTGCATGGTAGAACCAGAGGCTGCACTTCATATTAGTGACAAACTTTGGTGTTTTTTGATGGATTACCTTCATTTTTGCTTCTATTTTTCATTTAAAATAAGTTTCAATTCTAAGCAGCTTTCTATGTTTCTTCTTCTACATATTAAAAAAGTTGTTAAACATCTGAAAGGCGCACTACCGCTACTAGTGGTGAGAAAGTGTATTGCACCTTATTCAAAATCAATGTGGTCCCACGGCCCTCTTTTGAGGCCCTCAAGGTGGTGGTCGCGTGACCATAGGTTATTAACTACATTTTTAATTAATTATCTAGGGCTGTGTATTGGCAAGAATTTGGCGATACGATACATATCATGACAGAGGGGTCACGATGCGATATATCCCGATATATTGCGATACTATAAGCAAGGCGATATATTACGATTTTTTTGTCCAAAAATTCTATTAAATAAAAACCTCTTACAGGGAAAAAAAGGAAAAACCAAAATTCATTGTCTCAGAAAATTCTAATATTACAGAGACATACTTTTGATACATTTAGCTGTGTTCTGCTTTGTATTTTTATTTGTTTCATATTTCTTATTTCATCCATGTTTTCAATTATTAGACTAAATTTGACAATAAATAGTTTGAAAATATATTTTTTGCAGCTTTTAGTTTTTAATATTAATTTACAATATGGTCACCCAACACTTAACAATAGCCTCTACTTCAAGAGGTAGAGGAGCCAAATGTCTGGCTCACTGCTGCCAACTAGTGGTCAGAGGCTGAACTACAACATAAAAATGAACGGCTGGCAGGAAAGTTGACATTTTAAACCTTAATAAAAAAATCAATACAGGGCTTTAGAATATCGATACAGTATCGGGAAATGAAATATCGCGATATTTCAGTGTATCGATATTTTCTTACACCCCTATAATTATCTATAGTTCTGTTTAGTTTCAAAGAAAAAGTCTCAGAGCTTATATCCCCATCTCCTAACGTCAGTCTTCTACAGTAACAAATCCCTAATTTAGCATAATAGTGTCAGCTACATGTTTGCTCATGGGAACGGCATTAAGGTATTGAGTGTCTGTTTTCCACCTCTCCTGGGCTTTATATTAGACCTCCCTTATTATTAAAAACTGTGGCCAAACAGGCTTATCATCCTTTCAACAAATCCAGGGATTTCACGTCTCAAGTTCTCAGAGTCGTTCAGGTGGTTCTGATGAGAACTGACTCCAGCAAAAAGCCAATAACAGCTGCAGTTTTAAAGTGGGCTTCATTCTGTTCCTTTTTGATAAATCTTATAGTTATGGTTGGCTTGAGCTTCCTACACATTTGTCCTTTACACTGCTTTAACTTAAACTGCATATATTTTAAAATAAATCTTATTTAAAAGGTCTTCAGCTGATCCAAACAGCTGCACACAGAATTACTGCAGCCAATACCCTGTTCTGCGCCGATGGCGAAGCCCAGCTCGTGTGTAATTAAAACAGAAGTGAGTCACAAGGTGTCTCTGGTGTCCGAGTAGAAGTATTTGGCCAAAGGCGGGCACACGATGTGCAGTTTTTAAAAGTTGCTAACAACTTTCTAAATGTCACACTTTAAGATTTCCAGATCGAACAGATAAAGGACTGTATGAGTTCTTTCCACAAACACCCAACAGTTGATGGGAATTAAAAGCTGATGGCGACACTCTTTATTAGACAAGTAGGAGAAAGAGACATCTGATGGCTGAGCAGAAGACAAAAGTCACTCATTTTCCAGAGTTGTGACACTTTGCTTGCTGTGCTGACCCCTGCTGAGAGTAGCAGCCGAAAAGAAGAAAAATCCCAAACGAGTGACTGATGAGTCAGAGCTTGTTTTTTCTGCAGGGGTTGCCACAGCATGAAAGATTTGTTCTTTTACACCAAATGCACTTCCTGACACAACCTGGGCTCGAACCTGCAGCCTCAGGATTACACGACAGCAGCACTGATGTTGGCTTTGTTTTGGTTAAAAAAGCAGTAAATCAAAGTTACAATTTAAATATTGCTGTTTATTTGCCATAATGCAAGGTTTTCTTGGATATATAAGCCAGTTAAGAAGTGCATTTTAAAAAGAATATATCTTCTCACATTTGACCTATAAGACTCAAACTATTTTCAACCCACAGGAGGAATGCTGACTCACCAACAATAACAAAACCTCCATCTGCTTCCTTGTCGGATGTTGACTTCTTTGAGTCCTTACGGAGTCCAAGAAAACTGAACATTTTCTTTTATCTGCACAAAAAATAAAAATAAACAGCAGTTCAGTTCAAGAGAATGGGAGCGGAAGTGTCCATTAAGTAAACCACTTTTTGGTGTCACGTTTGTTTCACATACAGTACAAAAAGCGCTCGGATTTGTTGATCTGAAGTTTTTACAAACGTGTAGCGATATAATACTTTTTAAGACAAATATATAATAATTTTAAATATATTATTATATATTTAAAAAGTGATTTTCTTACTGTTTAGGCCTGTGAAGTTGAGAAATACGCTGATCAGTTCATGGTTGTTATGGATCGGGTCATCATCTGGTGCAACAGGGTGGTTCGTTCCCCCCTTTAACCGCTGTTTAACTAAAATAATATCCTACATGTCTTTCCTCGGAACTTTACGCAAAATCGTCCGTGTTCGTTATTTGTTTGACGCCACCGGAATAATTTTGAATCGTGCTCTTGTGAAAACTAATAACAGCTTTAAAACTTCAGGGTTAAATTATTCTTTTTCCAGACGTAGCGGAATTGTTTACTAATGTTTCTGGGGACTAGAATCGTGGAGCACCGCGGATGTGTCGTCACAAAGAAAGGAGGCGCTCGGTTTTCATCACCAAATAATCCGTTAAAAAAAGTCCCCTCGTGTTTTACACTAGAGTGTGGAAACTCCGCCTGCGCGGGCTACCCCAGTACACAAAACAAACTCACTTGGGTTTCCCGCGCTCTGGTGTGTTCTATTGGAGTTGAACGGCGCCACAGAAGTAAAGACACGAAGATGGCAGGCGTCCTGGATGTTCCTAAACCAAGAATAAACTGCTCGATGCTGTCGCAGTACATTAACCGACCGGTGTGTCTCGTCGGTCGTGTCGGAAAGGTCGGGTGGCTTTGCACTTAGGTTGAATAACAATGTTTGCTGACATTTACCTTGATGGTAACACAGAGTGTTTGCTTTGTCGTTTAAGGTTAACCCATCAGGGAAAACGTTTAATGTTTTTGATGGAGAAGGAAACAGCACAACAGTTGAACTGAATGAGCCTGTAAGTATATTATAATTAAATAGTCAACTCTTGTTGGAGAAACGTCTGATTTAATGAAGGTTGATGACATTTATCCTCGCTTTTTGAATATGTTTTTTTTAGTGATTAGGTCAGCCATGTTCCTCAAACAATATTTAATGCGCAATAATTTTATAAACTTGTGTGGACGACATAAAAATTGGACGTAGTGACGTAACGCAGAAGCGAAAGTCGAAAATGAGGAGCGCCCCCTGGTGGTTGGCTGCAGTATAACGATGTCAGTTTGTCAAGCAGCAATAAAAAAGCAAACTGCCCCTCAAATGATTTATTTTTCAAGTGATTCAGTGGTCAATCTGACCAGCCTTGTTCTCTAAATCCTACCCATTTATAATTTTGTGTTTGATTAAACCAGTATCTTTGCTCCTCCATTATAATGAAGCTCCGCCTCCACATGGGAGTTTGTGGGGATGGTGCAAGTGCCTAGTTATGGTAGCTGCAGGATTAAGTGCAGATAAATTTATTGTTTATGTCTGATATTCTTAATAGTCAACATGGTCACTGTCTGAGCACAATAATTAGCAAATCCTACTAATTTTCCAACTTACACATGTAACACAGTAAGGTCGGATCTGACGTTTCCTAGATCTGACTTATTCGGACTTTCAAATTAAAAGAAAAATGCTGTAACAGCCCCACAAACACAACATAGCTGACATAAGTACTCTGACGTGGTGCGCAGGTAAAGCCTCAAAGTTTCAAGCACAACTGAAGCCGTAGCGTCTCACATCAGCAATAAAAGTTCAGAAAACACTGGTTGTTTTTATGTGCTGCTGTTTTTGTTTATGCTGATAAATGATTACATCATCAGTAAATATTAAAATGAATCACGTGATTGCTGTTAGGAGTCATTAGACTACCCATACTCTAAAAAAAAAACCCATTTCAGATTAAACCAAAAATATTATTTGTGAACAAAAAGAAACTTGCATGTTGTATGGAGGATGGCCTTGGTGCAACCTGGGCTTGAACCTGCAACCTCAGGATTACTGCATCACTTTTTTTTGTCAGTCTCTTTGTAAACATGCTTTATAAATAAAAGTGACATAAAATTGTTGTTTTAAACGTTATTATTTTCAAAAGAAAAAATATTGTATAGGTCTTCTGGACGGGTTCTTCTCTAATGAAACATTTCGTCTCTCCTCCAAGAGACTTCTTCAGTCTGAGAGTTTCAGGCAAAATTCAGGCTTTTAAGCACAGCTTCCATGTGACTGATACTCACATCACACAAGTTAGGAGTGATCAGGACTCTGTACCACAGAGCAGACAGTGTCCCTACAAACCCAGGAGCCAGGG